AGAAGTGACAGAGAGAATGTTGTTCTGACTCACTGTAATGTACAGGTTGGGGAAATTAATCATGGGCAATCAGGCTCAAATCCTTTTAGAGAGGGATGGAAATAGAAACCTACCCCTTCAGATGCTGATTATCTCTTGTGGTACTGTGTAAAGAAAACACAGTATGTATTTGTCTTTTGTGATATTTTAGGAACAGCCATACTGAAACGATCCTGTGTGCTGATATCTAATGTCAGAGACTATTTCTGAGAGTCCAATCATTCTTCATTTCAGGAGCTTTTTGTTTGGTAAACAAAATATGTTTTGATCTTTATACACTTAAGAGGTAAGCAGAGCAAATTAACCAGTTTAATAATAAACTACAGTTCAGAAATCAGAGCAATTTCCTGTATCTTTCTTTTAAAATGTATCTTCAAAGTTATTTAAATAATGACATTTTTCTTTTTAATGATAACCTGCCTTCCCTTCACCCCAGCTCCCCATTGGTCTGCAGCTCTGACATTTCTCCATTGGTTAAAATCTTTCTTGGACTTCATACCAGCTGCAGAACGTTAATTGATGATAATTTTTGTACATTGTTGCTCTTGGACAAAATTAAACTAAAAAAATAAAAGTTCTTAATCTCACTTAGAAGCAGAATAGAAGCTCCCCTCAATAGAAATAATTACTACCAATCACTCTAAATGCACAAGAATGCCTTTTTCAAAGTAATACAATGATATAAATAATAGTTCTGTTCTCATGAAGTCATTGTATTAAAATTTAAAATGAAATGTTTTAAACTAGTAACAGAAAAGTAAAATTTTAATGCATGTTTGTTTAATAGATTTCATGTATATATACAAGTTCTATTTGACTATTTATTTTTACAGACCTTTGTGATCAATTTTTTAGTCACTTTTGTGAAATAGATGGTGAGGATGGTGCAGGAAAGCAATTCTGCCAATCTTGTTCTTTGTCGTAGCAGCGGATAATACATGATATTAGGTATGGCTCCTTGTGGAGTGCTACACATATATATTAAGTGCTGTTCTTTAAAATATTTTTTCTGAGGGACTGACAGAAAAATATGATCTTTGTGAATTCTGTCTGTATAATACCAAAAGCAATGGATAGAAAATGATGCTACAATGTCTAAAGATGACCAACATTTGAATTAACACCGTGTTGCACAAACTGTACTAGAGAATGCACAGTGATACCTGTTGATAAAAGAAAATGCATGGAAATGCTACCTGGTACATGCAATGCGTCCAGGGACTTGTACAACTTCTGATAGATGGTATAGGGTCTTAATGCATCTTTTTACTCTGGTAAATCTAGCCACAGGAAAGCTATGCTGCGCATTTTATGCTGCACATTTTTTGTTTTTGAGTTCTGTCTCTAAATTGGCAATATAGCTGTGCTCCACAAGAATAATACAGTTCACAAGATCCTCAACAATGGACGTGACCAAGACATGTTCAGCTGAAGGAATCCATCTATTGAAAGATGTTGCAACACTGGAATAATCTTGCACATTACTGTACTCACACCCAGAATAGCAGAAATACCAATATCCATTATTTCTTTACTTCATTTGTTGTTCTTGCCAGAAGCCTTTTGTGTCAGTTTTTTTTAAATCTGACCAGAAAATTAAAAAACTGCAGGGACAGTTTGGGCAAAAGCTTAATGCATGGCTTTGAGAGGAGTTCATACATTTTAGTCACCAACGTTCAGATGGATATATTTACCTTCTCTAGCTCTACATATATTTAATTGAAAAAAAACCAAAGAGATTAAACAATAGTCAACAAAAGTAAAATCAATTCAGACCACTCAGCAACATGGTGGGCATATTAGATTTCAGCAAAGGAGACTTCAGGAACCTGCTCCAGATCAGGAAGAGATTTAATTTGAAAACTGGTCTCCCACCATAGAGACTTGCTCCTGAAAAGTCTCCTGCTTGGTCATTTTTGTGGGAGTCTGAAGCAATTTGCTACATTGTTAGTACAGATAGGCAGGTGGGGGCCTGATTTGAGAGTGGACATGTCAAAACGCCATTTGTCAAAGCTGTAACACTTTTATGTGGTCACAAATCATACAGCCATAAAGCAAATGCAAAGGGCACAGTCACAGAGTGTAAAAAGTTTGCTTACAAATTAATTGATAACAAAAAGAAGCAATTACAATGAGGAACCCCATAAATATCTTCACTCCTTTAGAATTTTTCGGTTTCTCGTCTGCAACCATGAATGACTCTAACAGTAAATCTTTTCTGTTGCTTTGTAATGAAATAGCACTTGTGCCTGTACACAGAATAAATGGCTTGGTATGACACATACTCTTTGCTAGGTGATAATGTTAAGCTGTACCTCAATGCTCGTCACCAGTACACTTGTAGCAAATGTGGGTAGAGCCCTCCCCAAATCTTCGTTCGCGAAGCCTAGCCATGATGATTGATGATAATTCACCTCAATGCTACAGAGTCTAGGTCTTGGCCTCCAGAGGTTTAGAGAAGATGGAAGCAAGATGTAGCTAGACAAAAGCAATGAGTATTAAAAAAATCCAGATCTGATGTGTAGACTCCAGGAAGTCCTAATGTTTTGTTTCCTTCCTGTTTCTTCAAACTCTTTTGCATGGACAGGATGTTAGTATGGCTCATTCTTCTGTACCCGAAATGACAGGTGTTAAGTCATCTTAGCACATAAACATGGAAAAAACTTGCATCTAGTTTGTGTATCCAGCTGCACAGTGGCATTTTACCTCACACAGTTTTGCTATAAAAAAAAGTTTAGTGCCCAGTACTTGGGTGCAGAAGCCCACTTCCCAGCAACACAAGGAAAAAAGTAATAAAGATCAATGACTACAGAGCATAACACTTCTTGCATATCACAGAGCATAAGTAGCTATAGCATCCTGCACTTAGTTCCAAAGTATTTAGAGAAGTTATAACCAAAACTGAGAGAGTATAAGAAGAAGCAGTGTGTTACTTTGCATGGCATTGTTTCTCTTGGGCCCATGAAATTTGGAAGCATTTATAGAGCCGGCCTGAAGCCAGCTGGATTCTGATGAATTTTAACCTCAGCGTCTCAGTTTTTGAAAATGAAAATACAGAGAACCTTTGCAAGCTGCTACAGCAGTCCTGTGAAGACTGGAAGGTGGTCAATTCTGCAGTTAGCTCAATGTAACAAATTATACTAAGTAAATGAAATGTTGTCCTGATTAACTTGCATAAAAATTTCAGGCTAGAAGACTTTGATACAATGAAAAGTATATATCTGATGCCTATTCTTGCCTGGCAAAGAAATGAGTGGTTACAAGGTTTTGAATTCTCCTTTGTAAAGAGAAGTCTCATGTGGCTGGTCTGAATCCACAATAAAATTCCTGTCCTGATACCTCCAGCCATATCCACATGTTCTGGACTTCTGCGGGGCTCACAGCTTTTTGCTGTGTCTCAGCAGAAGCAGGCCAGCTTAGCATCCTCTTGCCAGCTGCCAAGGATGGAGGCGGACGCGGACGGGGCCCCCCTCAACCTTTTCTGGGCAATAGCTTTTGCAGGACCGAGGCCAGCTTCTGGCTGAGGCTGCGGTCCCAGCCAGCCCTTGCAGCCCGCGGGACTGGAGGCATCGATCTCCCCGGGAGCTGGTGCTGGCTTCGCCGCCCCGGGGGCGAGGACGGGCTGTGCGGATGCCGGGGCGCGGGTGCGGGGGCCGGGGCGGGCGCGCTGCCCGGAGCGCGGCGCGTCCCGCCCCGCGGGTGCCGGGGAGGGGTGTCCGCCCCACGTCACCGCCGCCCGCGATAAATGCCCGGCGGGGCGGGAGCTGCGAGGAGAGGCGCGGAGCTCCTCGGAGCGACGGTGGCGACGACCCAGAGGCCAGCGGGGGAGGCGGCGGCTGAGCGCAGCGGCAGCCCCTCGCCGCAGCTCCGCTTCTGGACACGTCCTTGACCGCCGCGCCGCTCCCGCCTCAGCGAGCGGGGCGAGGCCGTGCCCGCGCCCCCCGGCCCCGGCTCGACGCGGGCGTGGCGAGGAGGCGGGCGGCGGAGCGAGGCTGGCTGCGGGGAGAGCAGGCAGCCGCCGCCGGAGGGTAAGGGCATTGGCGGGGGGCAGCATCCTCCCCGCAGCATCCTCCCCGCGGCGACGGGAGGGCGGGGGGCGGTGGCAGGCAGACCCTGGGGCCGTGGGGCGCTCCGGTCCCAGGAGAGCGGGGCCGGCGCCGTCGGGTGCGGGCGGTGGCGGCGCGCTGGGGAGAGCCCGGTCCTGCCCGTCCGCCTCTTTTTGTTCCCCTCTCAGCGGCTGGGTCCTGTGTGGCGGGATTCGCGCGTGCTCGCCCAGGGTGTGGGAATGACCGCGGCTTTCCTACCTAAAGCATTCAGTTACCGAGTAGGCGGTGTTGGGATATTGTATTCTTGGAGGTGGTGCTACTTTTTCTGATAGTTTCCAGTGCTTTCCTTTGTTTGGGGAATAGAATAACCCCATCTTCCCCTATTTTCTTGTCCGAGTTGAATACCTTTAGTTTCATCAGGTATTTTTGGGAAATCATAGAACTAAAGCTTTAATCAAAGTCATATTTTGAAATGCACCAAGAGGGGCTATTTTATATCAACTTTATTGTGGATTTCAAGTTTACACTGGTGATGAATGCAAGCCTTAAACTTCTTTTGTTCTTAAATTCCAATATTGAGAGATCTTATCTGCAGTCTGATCTTCATTGATGTCTGACTCCTTCGAAGTAGATATGAAAAGCATGCTTTTTGCATTCAGGCACTGAAATGGGCATGCCAGTGTAATATATAAAACGACTTGAACAGAATGAAGTTCATAAGGTTGAAGATAACCTATCTTTCCGAATCAACAGTGTGTACTTATTAGAGTGAAAAGAAGTAGCATCCTGCTTTCTCCTCCTAAAATAACAGTGACAAACTGTATGAACTACAGGGTTTTTTTCTTTGTAAATTCATGGAGGCCAGTCCTTCAGTCTACAAATTACATTACTCTCTCTTATGTATTTACAGCCAACAGACCTGGAAGAAAGACTTTGTCTTGGAGCTAACTCCTGAGCATTTTTGAGATCATTCATCATGAAGTATGTAGTACAGGAATGGCTCAGAGTAACTATCTTGCTATTCATAGCTCAAGCAGTTTCTGCAATGATTCTTCCCAATGCCACGATCTTAGAGGAACTTTTGGAAAAGTACATGGATGAAGATGGTGAGTGGTGGATCGCCAAGCAGAGAGGGAAAAGGGCTATCACAGACAGTGATATGCAAAGTATCTTGGATCTTCATAATAAGTTACGGGGTCAGGTGTATCCACCAGCTTCCAATATGGAATATATGGTAAGGAAAAACTGATAGTGACATGCAGAAAGAATTGTTCTTAGTATAGTTACTATCACTTTATGAAACAGCATAATTTCAGTCTTGGTTTGCTTGTTTTCTCATTTAAAGCATATGTCACTTGTCTTTTTTTTTCTTATACAGGGATGAAATGTGAGATAAAAATGCATGTTTGTGGATCAAGTATCACGTTCTATTGATATTCATGCGTTTAATCTCTCATAGCTCACCTAAATTTAAGTAGCAGTTCCTCAGTGTTAGGGGCCAATTTCCAAAACTGGTACTCAAAATAGTTGCTTGTGATTGTGGCCTAAGAAGTTACCATCTAAGAAGAGTACTGAACTATGAAGATTCAAAATAACATATATTCTTTCCCATGCTTCTAGGTCGGATGGAATTTCTGAGCTAAATGAGAGTCTTATAACAAGAAAGTCTTCTATTTAAATTGGCATGTGTTACTGGAGTCCTGTATGTTTCTGTGTTTAACAGATTAATAATGTAATACATAATTTCTGTTTGTATTTTTTTCCTTAAGAAGCCTCTGTATTTGGATCATTGTTATTAGCATTAAGTCTCCCATGTTTCTGAACTTTGATTTTATTCTGTAGTTCAAGGCTAACTTTAGCTCTCCTTGCTAAGTAGATCAAATCAGGTCATGAGAGCTTTTAAGAAGTCCAGAGTTTTGACAAGAATGGGCAGTTTTACTTGCATCGGCATCTTTTTCCTGTTTCCATGTGGTGTATTATTTGTTTATCTATTCAAGCACCAGAGAAATAGCATTGCTATAGGTTGGGTTGTTTATATCAAATATTACACAGGTTTCATGACACTTTCTGTGACAGAGATTTGTATTAACACATATCAAGATGTAGATATCTTTCCCAGTCTGCACATATCCTTAAACTTTGTTTGCTGTTGTGACTTTTTCAGACCTTGTTATAATAGAGGTTAACATTTTGTTCCCAGTAACTCAAGTTGATTGATTTCTGGAAAACTCAAGAAAAAGCTGTTAAGTCTTTTTGTAAAATAAGAATAGAGGAGACTATTGTTTTCCCCTGTTAAAAGACTGCAAACCTTTTTCTCAAGATTATGTGAAAGCATAGCTATGATTTTCAGTTATGTGTCTTTTTCCATTCCTAATGCCATTCTACATTTGCCTGTCTTATATATCTTGAAAAGAAGAATTTGGATGTAGTCACTGAAGTAAGACTTTTGACAGCTCTATACTTCGAAGATTCCTTCTGCACTGCACACACTTTGGCTTAGGCTCTGTTAGGTCTACATCTGGAACAAGTTTTTGTGGTTTTGTTGTTGTTTTTTCTGCACTCTCCAATGACCCCTTAGCCAGAATACAAGTAGCATGAAAAAGTGATTACCCAATTTTGATGTTGAGGATGTTATTCAGAACAGGACAGCAGCTTTCAAGAGGGTGGGATTCAATTTTGGCATAATATCCAAGGGAATAAGGGGTTGGGATGGGCAAGGGTTTGGGATCTGTGAATGCAGAGGGTCTGTGTGAAGGGTTGAGTCAGAGGGACTCAAGAGAAGGGCATGGAGAGAGGCTGAGAGTCTGGTCAAGAAGGTTGAGAAATCAGAGTTATGGAGGAAAGAAGCACTTGATGAATAGACGTGGTTAGGGGAAGAACTGGGACTGTCTATGCAGAGAAAATTTGGGATCAGAAGTTTGTGGAGGGAGTTAAGAGGACAGAAATTTGCTAAGAGGCTATTTAAAAAGGCTTAACCTGTGAGCGGGGAGGGAGATTGTGTCCGGAGGAAGCAGGAGAGAGTCAGTCTTGGGAACTGAGAGAGGACAGTGGGACCCACCTGCTTCTTGAACAGAAGGAGTAAATGACAGGATTTCTGATTGTTTGCACATATATTTTTATGATACAGTTTGTGATTTTCCTTTCAATGTCTTACCAAAGGTGAATTTCAGTCCTCCAGAACAGGGAAATAATCTCCCTAAATGTTTGCCTGATGTTTAGCAAACTAGATAAGTACAAATGAAACACTTTTGTCTACTTTTGGTGTACTTTATTAGTATAGACATGCTGGCAAAAAAATCTCCTGCTATGGATACAGTCCTGTCCCTTTGTACTGGTAAAATTTCTCCTTATAAATACAGCTAGTTCTGCTTGGGGAAATGAAATATTATGTCTCACTGAATGTGAATGGAGGTGGTCAAGGTCCAGGTGCCTCACTTGTACACTTGCGTCTCTATTAGTCTGTCGTATAGTGGAGAAGTTTAGGATCTCCAAGAGTAAGTGGAGCTGCGAGAAGGAATGTGGGCGCTGTATGCTCTCATTGCACTGTTAGTCTGTAACATCTAAGGTAACCTAACAGGTGTCTGTGGCTGAAATGCTTCTGTCCTGCTCCTGCCAATAGAATGTACCAGAGTTGATTATGAGAGTGATCCAAGTACTTCAAGAATCAAGATTTTATATTTTAAAATTTACTTTTTTTTTCCCATTCTGAGTCATGAGGCTAGTCATGGCTGAATCAGATGAGTTCAATGCTATAAAAGTTGCTGGGAACGTATAGCTAAGAAATGGGAGGGATGGAGAACCACACTTAAGGTAGGACAATCAGTTATATGACTTAACTTGCAAAGTCCAGCCTTATCTTTGAGGTGAGGTCTCTCTATTAAAAAAAAAATTAAAAGGTTGAATTACAGATATTCTGTACAGCTTTATACTCTTCCCATATGCCTTGAAGAAGAAAAGGGTACTGGGCTATCACAGTTAAAGACCTAAAGTTATTAGCTTCAGTACGATTCACAGTAGATAGGTCTAAAACATTCTTATGGTTGTCTGGCTGAACTTACTGGATGAAAAGTTCATTTTGCCAAGTACTCTGGCTCTGGTGGTGAGCAGTAGTGAATTCCTAGGGTAAAAGAATAAGTATAGAGGATGTCAACAGAGAGACTTCTGCAATGAAACCCCCCAGCTTCCAGCAAACAGCAGCTTAGGGAATTCCTGACTCTGGTGGTGTACTTTTTGTGTGAAATGGAATAGTCTCAGATGGAATTTTTTGTGAATCTGAGTGCTTTTGAGTTCATTTAGTTCATTTGTATTCTTTGAATCAAGTTGCAGAGCTCTATAAATTTAATTATGTACTGCGTGAAAAAACTTTGTCTTGTTGGTTTTTTTTTGCTTTAAACCTGTTCTTTTATTTGATGCCGTGTTTTACTTTATTGTGAGAAATAATTTTCTCAGTGATCACATAGGTTTCTTTTCAAGAATTGTGCTTCCTTTACTTGAAAACTGTTCTGTCTGAAAAGCAGTTCCATTTTGTTTTCCTGCTCTGTCTGATATGATTCTCCTGTTTTCCTTTTATTTCAAAGGAAACAAACCAAACTGTTGACAGTTATGGTATACTGCAAATTGATGGAGTTGTATTTTCTTCACTTCCTAATAATTTCTAACATTCTCTTGCTTTTTGACTGGCTGAACTAAAGCCAACATTTTTCATAGAGCTATTCACAATGATTTTAAGACCTTTCTAATGGGCTAGAGGTCATTTACTACACTACAGTGTATATATAGTTGGCTGTAACCTCCAGCTATGTCCTTATTATTTTGTATGTGTTCACATTGAATGCTATCTATCATTTTGCTTCCAATCACTTAGTATTAATGAATTTCCCATCTTTATCTTGTATTTTTCCTACCTTGTTTTTAACTATCTTAAGTAGTGAGTACTATCTCGCATTCCCTTTTCTTGGGCTATTGGGATCAAGGTATATGGCAGAGGACAATGGACACATCTTGAAGGGAATTTGAAAAGTTATTTTGTATTCTTAAATCTTTTTTCTGTCATTTACCACTTTTTTCTTTATCTCATGATAGCTTAATTTGATTTGTTTATTAATTTTTAAATAGCTTAGGAACTCTTGAAAATTTAACTGCATTTTAACCCTTTTCAACATGTTTTTGACACTTTTCAAAGTCTAATATATTTGGGAAGAATTCATATTATCTATGTATTTCAATATTGTTTTTTAACTTATCCTATGAAATTATCCCAACAGAAGTAAGTTTTTTGGTCTGCAGTTTCTCAGGATCTACTAGAAGCTTTCTAAAATGCTAACACCCATGTGCTGTTTTTTGTTACTGTGGTAATGAGGCCATTTGAAGAGAGAGTGTACCACATAGTAATTAAGAAGTTTCATGATCAAGTTTTTCCAGGTTCTTCAAGGATATTGTCTGGCAATTTGATATTGTCAATATATTCATTTTCAGCTAATGTTTAAGTCTGGTATGCGTCCTCCACCTCATCTTCTGTTTCTTTCTCTGTATAGAAGAATTCTGGTGAGAGATCCTGTGTAAGCTCATCTGTAGGGAATAGTAGTGCAACAAGTTCTGTTAACTCCTCTGCAGTGGCCTTTTGACTGCATGTTAGATCATTTTTTCCTAGACCTCTTCCTTGAATGCTGAGAGAGTTTTTGGGTTGTCAACATTATGACTTAAGTAGAAAAAAAAGTATTCTTGAGGTTATGATGAACGGTTTGTTATGAAAATGCATGGCAGATGTGTGCTGTATATTTGTTTGTCTGGATCGTTTCCTAGTAAAGAAAGGAGTAAGGAACATTTTCTTTTTGCTATGCATATGGATTTAACAGCACTGGAAAGAGAGCAAAGAGGGATGATGTTTCCCTGCTGCCCTTCTAAAACACCCAAACAGTACATAGCAGAATGTTGCGTGAATCATTATGCTTTCAACATTTCCCACCCTGGGCCATTGACATCAGCATGGCCTTCACACTATGTATGCACTTGGAGCACATCTGTATGGAAGAGATACTTGAACTAGTACTGAAAACTGCAGCTGACTGCTGCTGGCAGTGTTCAATCTGACCAGATCAGGGAGCTGCTGTGGCTCTGATGTTCTGTGGCTGCTCAGGTGTCCCTCCTTGTTCCTCTCCTGTGCTGGAGCTGCCTGTGCCTGCCCAGGCTCCCTTGGCAAAGACCTATCCTTTAAGGCAAAAATGGGAATCATTG